CGTCTTCGTGAGCCTCTCATGATTTCAGGATAGTTGAAACCCTCTTGAACATTCAGAAAGAGTGAATATGAAATTCTAATCACGAAAGGTGTTCCCCGAGGGGATACATACCTAGAGTTTGTTTTGTGAAGCACGTCAATTCTCTCCTGGGGAGCGTCTTCGTGAGCCTCTTATGGTTTCAGGATAGTTCAAATCCTATGATGTTCCGATTCAATGCTCACCGATGATCTGAGCCATGGGGCAAGTTTGTTTTCCTAAGAATCTTTTTGAACATTTCGAGAGCACATGTTTGAACATGAGAAACTTGCACCATGATTTCCTTTGACCTTGGCACCATGTGGTTCGAAACTAGGATCCTGAGCCTTACCCGTTTTTCACCTTGCGGTGTGCGGAAACATGTTTGCGCGCTGATCGCCGATCGGACGCTGTCGAGTTGGCACCGGAGCTTGGCTTGGTGCTTTTGGCGGCCGTGAAGGCCCCGGCATTTCGATGCCCATCCCTTTCAGGGTTGCTGACCCGGACGACCTCGAGGTTGCCTCCCGCCTGTCGGACTACGACTTCGACTATGACTTCGAAGGTCTCGATGGTGGTGATGGCGGCGATTCGCCATGGTCGGATCCCTGGTCGGAGCCTCAAGCACCAAGAACACCGATCCAGGACACGAAGGATGATGATGAGCCCACACCATGGCGCTGTTTGCGTTGTGATGGCCAGCGGTTCTCTCCCTCGGAGGGCCACAGCGGTTGGATTTGTTTGACGTGCTCCCACGACGAGTTCTACCGGGTCGACAGGCCTACCAAGAAGGTGAACCCCTCTGGCACCTGGGTTTTCGTTCCCACCTCACCTGGCAGGGAATCCAAGGCCCAGAAGAGACGCCGCAGGAGGACCAAGCATGGAGGCCCACCGGACGGAGACGAAGGAGATCTATATGAAGAACACGCCGAATCCGAAAGACTCACCAACGACCCAGTGGTTGAACCTGAGCCACAGGATGCAGGACGCCAGCTTGGTGGTTATGGACGAGGCCCACGACGAGCTCTTCCACGAACACCTGTTCGAGGTTCGGGAGTATCTCAAGGCCCTCCACCCGATCTACCTGATCTACCGGGCGCGGCGGACCTTCCTGGCGCGGCTAGATCGCCACAGCGATCGACGGCTCCTCGAGCTCCTCGATTACCCGATTCAGGACGCCTCGAGCGTTCTGGACTACCTGACCAGACTCCTGACCGGTCACGACATTCCGGGAAGGAGGACAAGAGCTCATCTCAGGGCTCATGGAACTCAAAGAAAGGGCCAGCACCAGGCCTGAAATGGAAGTCGGGACAACCTCCTCCTGTCCCGACATGGAAGTACGACCAGTCTGACATGAGGGCATTTGCAAAGTTCTCCAAAAAGATCAGCATCTGGCGCCTCCAAATGGAAGCCTACGCCAGCAAGAAGGATCAGGCCCTCATGCTGTACAATGGACTCACAGGTGAGCTTGAACAAGAACTAGAACATTTGGACATTGAGCAAATCCATCGGGATGACGGAGTGGACGTCATCATGAAGCTTTTGCAGCGGCCATTTGAACAGCGCATCATTTACCAAAAACGACGCTTCCTGCACGAGTTCGAATCCTTCCGCCGCTTCAACCAGGAAAGCATGAGGGCATATGTGCAGCGCTTTAGACGCGTGCAGAGGTCTCTCTTGGCGGTCGGAGTCGACATATCGGGAACATTCGATTCCGATTCGCTCGGCTCGAGGCTCTTAGACCGCAGCGGACTGAGTCATCATGACCAAAGGATGATCTTAGTGGGCACGCAACAAAGCCTTAGCTTTGAGGCCATTGCTGAATGCCTTGTTCTCCAATGGCCAGAGTTCAGGCCGGCTCCAGCGGTCATGTCTGGATCCGGAAAAGGCAAAGGGAAGAATTTGACCTCGAGCTCTTCTACCTCCTCCTCGACTACCACATCGAGCTTCTCAAAAGGTGGCAGCAAAGGACCACCAAGACGGCAGACCTACTTGACCGAGGTCCCCGAGATGGAGGTCGCTGAAGATGAAGAGTTCGCTGATGCTCAGGAAGACCCCGAGTGTGACGCTGATGGCGATGCAGAGCCATCGAACGGCGATGACGCCGACGGAGATCCTCAAGAGGATGAACCCGACCTCTCCGAGCTCGCTGAGGTCCTTACCGTGACGGCCCGAAAACTCAGCGGCATCACTTTGGGTCGAAAGTTTTCCAATTCCGCTGGTGGCAAAACCAAGAAGTCGCCCGAAGAGCTTCGAAAAACGACTCACTGCTCGGCATGCGGCGCCTTGGGCCACTGGTATCAGGACAAAGAATGTCCACTCAATCCAGGAGCTGGTGGAGGAAAAGCTGGAGGAAAGTCCGGCAAAGGACCAAAGGGATCCTCGACCTCCTTTCGTTCAGCAGGTCACGACAAAAAGCCCACTCACTCCGTGTCCGTCGTGCAGCACCACCAGTATGGGTCGTTGGAGGTTGGGACGCCCCCGGATGAGTTTGGTTCAGCTTTCTCCATCAACATGGTCAATAGCATCCCCTACAAGGTCAATGAGGTCAAGAACTATTCCACGGACGGGGAGCTCGCTGGTTTTATGGTTTTGGATTCGGCATGCCAAAGGACTTGTTGTGGAACCCTTTGGTATCGACACCACCAAGAGCTTTTGGGAGACTATGGCCCGAAGACCAAGGAGATTGATTCGTATGACCTCTTTCAATTTGGCAAAGGAGATCCCACCAAGTCCACTACCAGAGCCTACATCCCCAGCTATTTGAACAATGTCCCCTTGGTCATCGGTGCCGGTGTTTTGCCCGAACGTGTTCCTTTGTTGGGTAGCAACTCCCTCCTGGACAAGTTGGGGTCGGTGATCGATTTGCCGAATCGTGCAGTTCATTTCACGGCATTGCATTGTTCAGTTGAACTTCATGTCAAGTGTGGTCATTTTGCAGTTTTCATTTTGGACACCAACCATGAGCACCCTGGCCATGAACGTGTTTGGAAACAGCTTTCGTCACCATCATGTTGGGAAAGGCCACATCCAGAACTTGTCCTTCCACCGCCGAAGCCCATGACAGACGAGGCGAAAGCCCATGAGGTCTTGAATTCGAGGCCCCCGCTTCCTCATGCGGACAGCACCTCCGCCATGGCTGGCGAGATGGAGGCGGATCGTGTCGGCTCTCGACGCGTTCCGGAGGAACATCTGGATCTACATGATGGGGGGCGTGCGGCTGGGCATGATGCCGCGAGACTGGCTCCAATCGGCAGTTCCGCCGATCCTGAGTCCTCGCCTCGACCCGGACTCCTGCGAGCACAAGGACATCAAGAGGTACGGCAACGCCCATGGCCGCTTCGCGAGATGCAATCAGTGCCTGAGAAAATGGAGATGGAACACCAAGAAGGGGGATTGGGACATTTGGTATTCCCGCGGCGATGGCTCTCCAAGTTCCTCTTCAGCACCATTGCCATTGCCTCAGCCGTCATCGAAGGCCACACCTCCCTTGGGAGCCTCTCCAAAGAAGATCAAGCCCAAGTTCAAGGCAGCGCCAGCGGCTCTACAACGTCAAGCTCGCATCAGGGACTACGAGCGGACGGACCCTACTTCGACGGCGCTGAGTGGATGGACGAACTTCCGCTTGGGCTACACCCTCCACACGGACCACCTGGACGAGCAGGGGCAATACGAGCTGTTCCAGATCTTGGAGCAGGAATCTCCTCTGCAAGCAGAACCTACGACGGTGGCCGAGCACATCTTCCTCAACGAGGAGACCTACCAGCCGCAGCGGGAGAAGCTGGAGATGTTGGCGGATCGCAAACGCCACGAGCGACTGGTCGAGATGGGAGTTCTTCGCGAGGAGGACGACGAGATCATGGACTGGGGTCTGGTGGACCACGAGCTCGACCAGATGGTCCAGGGCATCAACCAGTTGGTACCGGATTCATGAAGTCCGGTCATGCGAAAAGGCTGAAAGGTGAGTGGAAGAAGGCCGCTCAGGTCCTCGAGATGGAGTACAAGGTCAACAACAGCGGCGCCAGCGTGAGAGATCGACCACCACCACATGTGGACCTATGGGAGCTGTTCGCCGGATCTTGCAACTTGAGCCGCCTGGCTCCACACTATGACCTGAACACCTTGCAGCCCCTGGACATCCTCTTCGGCCAGGACTTCAAGAATGGCTCCATGAGGAAGAAGATCAAAGTACAGGTCGACCAGTTCAAACCCTGGCTCATCGTCATGGGAGTCGACTGCAGGTTTTGGAACTTGTTCAACATCAACATGAACTGGTCGCACCGACAAGAACTACTTGAGAGTCTGCAAGATGAAGAGCGCATTTTGGTTCAGTTCGCAGTGGACATCGCGCTCATGCAGTACAAGGCCGGGCGATACTTCCTGCTGGAGAACCCCCTGAGGTCGAGACTTTGGGAGGAAGACAATGTCCGCCAGCTGAGAGATCTGGAAGGCATTTGGTCCACAGTGCTTGACGCAGGAGCCTATGGTGCGGAGATCAACAACGAGCCGATCGCAAAGCCAATGAGATGGATGGGCAATCTCCCAGGCTTCGACCAGACCCTCAACCTACGGCTCACTCCAACACAGCGGCTCTACTGCAAGCCTATCCAAGGCTCGATGACTCGAAGATCCCAGCAGTACCCGGACGAGCTTTGTCATTGCATTTTGCAAGAGCTCAAATCTCTGGTGTTTCAACGTGAGCCTCATCGTTTTGGAGCACCACTACATCAGGTCTATGCGATGGCCTACCCCACAGAAGACCTCGCACTGTGGGACCACATCGTGGACTACATCACCAATGTTTATGAGAGGGGAGCAAAACGGCCCTTCAACATTGGCTTGGACACCGAGATGGGCAAGACCATCCAACAGCTCTTCCGAATCAAGGCAGTTCGCCTTCAAGCATGCTATGCACCGACGGCGAGAAGAATTCCACCCAACGTGGACGAGTACTACACCCGAGCAGCTCTCTTGCAGTACGCTGATGGTACTCGTGCCGTCGAGATTGAAGATTTGGGCGAGATCGAATTCCCCAAGATGAAGTTCTCCAAGGCGGTCAGAGTGGCAGTGTTTGGATATGGACACCGTCTTGAGACGCCTGACCCCAAGCAGAACGAGCTCAAGGAAGACAGACCCGTCATTCCGGGCATGTCAGCTGACATCAGCTTCCCAAATGTCAGCGATGTGGAGCAGCACATTCGACGTTCTGTAGCACGACTACATCTCAACTTGGGACATCCCACGGCTCCAGAACTACTACGACTCCTGGCACATCAAGGCAAAGTACCAGGCCCAGTCATCAAAGCAGTTCAGGGACTGGTTTGCTCCACCTGTGAACGCCTTCGACCACCTCAAGAACCACGACCTGCATCCATGCCAAGTTTGACTGCAGGCCAATTTGCTGACGAAGTGCAGGCCGACATTTTCTATGCACGGCTGCTGGACGGAACATCCTTTGCCGTCCTTGGAATCGTTGACAAGGCGACAGGCTTCCATCAGGCTGGATACATGCCTGACCGGAACGCCACCACAGCGTTCCAAGTGCTCTCCGACATCTGGCTTCGACCTTTTGGACTACCACTTCGCTTCGTGTGTGACCCAGATCACACCTTCCGAGGTCAGTTTGAGCAACGCCTCATGGCTATGGGCGTGATGGTTGAACACTGTCCACCGGAGGCGCACTACATCATCGGCATGGTCGAACGGCGCAACGCCATCCTCCGACTCACTCTGGAGAAGGTCATTGACCAGCTTGGAGTGGTTTCATTGGACCAAGTCCCGACTGTGCTCATCCAAGCTTGTCACAGCATCAACTCACTGCCCTTCACTCGCGGCAGATCTGGCTATCAGGCAGTTTTTGGCAGGACACCACGACTACCGGATGACGTCCTCACTGACACCCAGGTCTTGAGCACCTCCACACAGCCCTTCCGGGACGTTGACAACCCTGGACTCCGGGCAGAACTGGTGAGAAGCGAGGCTATGAAGGCCCTCATCGACCTGAACGCCCAACAGCAGTTCAGGCGAGCATTGCTTCGAAAGACTCGCAATGTCAAAGTACCAGAACTACTTCCTGGACAACGCTGCGCAGTTTGGAGGTGGACAAAGAAGGGAGTGCGCAAGCGAGGAGCATGGCTCACTGCCAGGTTCCTGTCCTGGGATCCTCAATACCCAGGAAGACAAGCATGGGTTCGACTGGGAGCTTCAACCACCCTGGTCACTTCAGAGCAACTACGAGCAGCTCACGGGTTTGAAGATTGGTGCCCCGATGAGCAAGATCTGAAGGCCCTCAAGGATGCGAGCAAAGACTTTGGCCCTCAGATGCTCGAAGACGAGAGAGGAGAACCTCCACCCGAGTCTGCATTGATCCAAGGAGCAGAACTCGAGGAAACCGTCGACTACAGTGCAGCACCGCCACCACCAACACCTACAATGGCTGTACCAGCAACACCGGCGACAGCAGCACCTTCGACGCCAGCAGCAGCGTCACGGGATCCGACGACCATACATGTCAGGATCGATAGCCCAACACATATGCACCAACATACCACGGTGCAGACACTACACCAGCGCTTTGGGGACCTTCCCAAAAGCCTTAGCACCACGAGGTCAAGACGACCAGCACAACCTTTGGAATCAGCTCTCTCCAAACGGACAAGAGCCACATTGGCTGAAACAAGCCATAGCACTGCAGCACCAACACTTTCCGCACTGGGCAACGTTGGCCCGACACCGCCAAGAAGCATGTCTCACCCTTCCGATCCTACCATTTTGGAGGATCCACCACAGGACCAAGAGTCCCTACAAAACATCGCAGAGCAACAGGCAGCTGCAGCTCTTCTTCCAGTACCTGAAGACCACGAACTGGACATGCACCTAGAAGAATACACACCAAGCATCCCGGACGTTCCAGACGCCACGGAACAGTTCGAACAGGATGAACAAGCCACAGCCACAGAACCTGCGGCAGCGGCAGAACAAGCAGCAGCAACCGCGGAACAAACAGCGGCAGCAGCGGATACAGGACAAACGACAGAACACACAGAACCAGGACCAATGCAAGAAGAAGATCCTTTACCAGTGCTACCGCTGAAGAGGCCATTCGATACACTCTTCATCATGGAAGAGAATGGCACACTCGCACGGGCAGAGCACCATTGGGGTGGAACACCGCCCATGGCATACGGCACTACAAGCAAAGCCTTCTTCAAGGTCTACGCAATGACCAAACAGAGACAACAAGACATCAACAACACAGACAAAGCAGCAGCAGAGAGCGACACCACCGTGGACTCCGACAGTGGAGACTCCAGCACTGAGCAAGCAGAACGGCCCAAATACCACAACCCGGGCATGAGCAGGCAGGAACGCAAACAGCTGGACAGGGAGATTCCATGGAGACACATCTTGACGATGCCACCAGCCTACATCGACAAGTTCCTGGCCGCCATCGACAAGGAGACCAACAGTTGGTCCGAGTGGCGAAGTGTCAAGCCACTCTCAAGAGAAGAAGCCCAAGCCGTCCTGCGAGACAAGATCCTCTCCAAGCGCGTGCTGCGCTCACGGGCCTGCTACCGTGATAAGAATGTGGGCCAAGGTGAAGTCAAAGCAAAATGCCGCATCGTTTGCTTGGGCCACCAAGATCCCGATCTCGAGGTCCTCAACCGTTCATCCCCAACACCTGGAAGGACATCGGAGATGGTGATGTACGCCATGATTGTGGCTGGGATGAACCAGGAGCTCTTCGACACCCAGAAGCCATGGCTGGCATGGGCAGGAGACGCCCAAACTGCATTCCTGCAGGGGAAGCAGAAAGACTCAGAGAGGCCACTACCTCTCTACATGAGGCCTCCAAAAGATGGCCTGATCGAGAAGACCGGCCACTGGCGCTCCGACCTCTACCAGATCCTGGGCAACGTCTATGGGCTCAGCAACGCTCCACATCTTTGGAGCGAGGAGGTGACATCAAGGTTGACCTCCAAGGGGTATGGCCGACATGGCTTCGACCCTCAGCTCTTCTTCAAGAGGGACCCCAAGAGCGGCTATCCAGTCAGCATGTTGATCGTCTACGTGGATGACTTCTTAGGCCTCCACCGAGCTGACTATGAGATCACCGAGATCCAAGACCTCTTCCGCTGGGGCGATCTTCAAAGCTTTAAGGCCGGCAAGGCCATCAAGTTTAAGGGCAAAGAACTGGTCATTGAGCAGCTCTCCAATGGCCGACATCGGATGAAGATCACCATGCAGGGCTTTCTCGACGCCCTCGACGTCGGCAAGATCGCAAAGGGCAGGTCAAGCCAAGACCCTGTCATGACTCCCATGGAGCAGAAGGAGTACCGGTCAGTCAGCGGCTGCTTGCAATGGGCAGCGACACAATGCAGGCCTGAGATCTCACCGCTCATCAGCCTCTCCAACCAAGGTGCACAGACCACCTACCAAGGCCTCAAAGACTTGTACGAGGGCCTGGACTACCTCAAGTCCACGTCGGACCAGGGTCTGACCATCCAGGACATCCCCTTCACCAAGGACTCCCTGGTGCTCGGCTACTCCGATGCGAGCTGGTGCAACGCCAGCCGGAGCGGCTCTCAAATCGGCTTGGTGATCGGCATCACCAGCATGGAGGCAAAGCAGAAGCCGGTAAAGTTCACGCCATTAGATTGGCGGAGCTCACGTGCCCCACGGGTCTGCCGATCGACTCTGGCAGCTGAAGCATGTGCTGCTGACGAGGCAGCTGATCGTGGAGCATACCTCAACCGGATCATCTCTGAGTTGATCTACGCACAACCCTCACACCGAGTTGGCTGCCGTATGTCCTATGCCCAGGCCACGGACGCCCGCTCGCTCTACGACGCCATCATGGCTGAGGCGCCAAACATCTCGGACAAAAGGTCCCTGGTGTCAGTGAGGAGTGTTCAAGAGGTGGTGGACACACACCAGCTCCACTGGGTCCCAACGACCCTTCAGTTCGCAGATGGCTTGACAAAAGCCGATGTCAATCTGCGCAACGTGTGCAGAGCATGGTTCGAAGACCCCAGAGCAGTCCTCGCAGACCACCCTGAGAACCAGAAGCTGCTGGAGCAGCTTGGCGCCAAGGTCAACAAAACAAAGACCAGTGAGAAACTTGCACCATGATTTCCTTTGACCTTGGCACCATGTGGTTCGAAACTAGGATCCTGAGCCTTACCCGTTTTTCACCTTGCGGTGTGCGGAAACATGTTTGCGCGCTGATCGCCGATCGGACGCTGTCGAGAGAACATTTAAAGTGCATATGAACATATATGTACGAAAGGTCGCCTCCGAGGGGATAAATCACCATGTCGAACATTGCATTTTTGTTCCTGCCTCTCGCGTTCTCTTCTCTTCCCGCTGTCCTACCTTTCGTGTCTCCCTCCTCTCAAGTACCATATATAACCATCCTGAAGTACATAGAATTTTGGTACAACTCAATCCCGCGGCACTATAAAAAAGTAATAATACATGGAATATCGGGATCCCAAAAGCATCTTCAGGATGGTTATATCAAAACACCCGCGTGCCTCGAATCGAAACACCCGCGCGCGCGCGAGCTCGCATCCTATGTCCCTTTTCCTTCTCCCATCTTCTCCCCTATGTCCCCTATCTTCCACAGACCATTCCACGATATTCCAAGTACTCGTTTGATCCGCTCGGAGATATTCTATGTACTTTTTTTGGGGGGTCAAAACGAGGTACTTAGAATATGAAATTGAAATGACGGAAGGTACGTTGGCGGCTCAATTCCGTATTCTATCTACTCAAGGATGATTATACATCAACACAATACAACAACATAACATACACTCTATACATCTCTATACACAAAACCACCTAAATTACAAAACATTAGGAGAAGAGGCTCCCATGGCTCCCATAGGACATATGTGGAGAGTCTGGTGGCCATTGTGCACTCGAACCCTGCGCAGCCAGAGCCAGAGAACCAGGCGGAGATGGAAGACCAGGCCCAGCAATTACTCCAGTTGAAGCAGCCCAGTGGAAGAGCAGGCACTGCCAGCATCAATGCTCCAGTTGCGACGTCAACCATCATCAATATGAGCCACCAGAGCCATCAGAGGCAGATGCTGCCATAAAGGAAGCCACACAAGTCCAAAGCATCACATACACCATCCAAGGTGAAGAATACTCCTTTCACCAAAGTAAAGATGGAGGTGGTGGATCACAAACACCAGAGACCAGTGAGTCCACCCAAGGCACCATTCCAATCAATGCCACCAGGACTTCTTCAAAAACAACTTGTGGATACCCTGCCGGAGCTTGAGCCAAGCATGCTAGCAACAGACACTGCTGCCAGCCAATGGCCAGCCACCAGGCAAGTGCCAGCAACCTGTTGCAACCACCAGCAAGGCAGCTTCTCCATCAAGACCACCACCAAGAACTACAGAGGCAGAAGCCAGCATTCCGCCTTGACAGGCTGGAAGAGTAAGTTGGCAATCTTTATCCACCACTGGGCCCACTGGGTTCCAAGAAGACCCAGGTTGGCAGGAACCAATCCCAACAAGCAAGTCAGCAGAGTCAAGACGATGCCAGGACAAAGTGGCCAGTTTGCACCAAGGCCAGTTTGCATTGGTCTACTGGTACGAACGAAGGAAAGCTGGTTCCGCTCGTAGGTCACCCGCCGTGGGCTCCCAATGAGGGCAGACCTCCCGCTTTTGCCCTTCAACTACGGTGTGAGAACCCTTCAGGGTGAATATCATAGTTTACATATATGTATTACATATGTATTGTCGTGTATTGTATTCTATATGTTCGTATAGAAACCTGTCAGGGTGCTCCACCAAAAGGTGTTTCATATATGTATTGCACTGTGGAAACCGCACGGAGGAAAGCGGACATGGGCCAAAAACAAGCGAAATTGGCCCCGACCTCGGGCAGTCGGCCATGCCTGGCCAAATCTAAAGCGTTGCGGTTTGAACAACATGTTTGCCTTTACGCAGTCCAAGTCAGTCGCTTGGTCCATAATATGCTCTTCTCGAGCTGCAAAAAGGTTCAAATAAAGGATTGCATTAATATCCATTTGCAGTGCTGGCGCAAAACGATAGCCAGACCCAAAGATTACATTAGGGCTAGAGCATGCTAGAACCCTTCAACCACATTCGCTAGATAGCGTGAAGATGACATTAGAGTTCTACTGATTTCTTGGTTTGCCTTTGAATTCCTATTGATTCCCTTGCAAATTCCTTCTGATTGATGATGATTGATGATTGGTTCCTTTTTAAAAACATGTTGTTTCCATAAAACACTGTAAAATACAACGGCTTTTACTGTAGCACCTGAAAGGCAACTGTTACATCCCTATAAAATCCGGTCTCTAAATGTTTGGGTGGTTGGTTGCAACTTTGGTCAATTTGCCTAAATCTTCGTTCGTCCCACAAATCATCGTTTGGATGACCTTGACTTTGGCTGCTCTTCATCGGATTGTATCAAATATAAATAGTTTGTTATGTTTTGTATCTTCCAAGGGGCCCCCCTCTTCTGCACAGTGAAATTCATTCTATATAGAGGTTCGATGGAATCCACTCCCAACCAATGACAGGTTGAGGCAAACAAATACGTGTCGGTGTGTACCTCCATCCATCAAGACTTGTTGTTTGACATCCCAGTCAGACTGTAGTTGGCAGAAACAAGACCCCAACCTCCAAAAAAGACCTCCCAGGTCACTCACTTAGTCTGTATAGTTGCGATGATGTTGAAGATCCTTCCATTCGGTGGATCTTCCATTTGGGCACCCCGATCTTCCGTTCCTTCAGGTGGCCACGATGAGAAGAACCCCTACGTCTGTGGGATGTTCGATCTCTCCCAGATGCTCCCGAGCGCCGCCCGATGGACGGTGATGACGGTGACGACGGTGACACGACCGAGCGCTAGAAAGACGGAGGTCAAGCTACGTGTTGGACCTATTTCCCATGCATTTCATGTCGGAGGCCAACGAACTGCCAGAGGTTCAGCTTGGCAAATAGCTCGGGCGAGGAAGATGGTGGACACAGGTGCCGAGGAGGGGTTCCGTGACCCCTGTCCTTTCACGGGACTCAGGCTACTCACGAAGCTTGGCTAGTTGCAGGTGGTTTAAGACTAAGCATATTTAATGATTTTGATCAATTCTATAGCTAAGTCTACAAGGGGTCTCTTTTGTAGCAAGGTTTCACCCATATATTTCAGCCCCCGTTTGACCACTGGTCGCGGAAGGTCACTGGCAGACAGTCTGGAAGAGTTATCAAACCCAGCAGCCTGGGTTTGCCAGATGTTTCCAGCTTGTACACCTGGGATATCCTGCCCTGTACACCAGGGTCTCCTGGCCTGGGAGTCAAGGCTCCTTCGACACCAAGGATTTGAGCATCGACAGCAAGCACCACGCGCCTTGGAATGAGAAGCGGGGGAGCTGTGATTGAGAGGAGTTGAGCGCATAGTTGTGCATGATGCAAGAGCAAGTAATCTTGACTCGCATAGCCGCACAGCAGTTGTAAGGGTCTGTTGATGTTTGTTGGGTTGTCATAGTGTTTTATTTGTTTGGTTGGACCAACGGCGCATCAGAGCGGGTTTTTGCGGAGACCTCCTACACATGGACGCAGAAAGCTGGTTGATGAGAAGAGTCTTACAAGTCCATTGTCACGGTCCACTCGCGCAGAAGTCGATTCTTCTGATTTGTTTGCCTGACTAAGGGCCATTAAGGGCCTAGGGCCCTTAAAAGAGGACTTAGATGTGCCCCTCTGGCCTATCGAAGTCAGGGTTAGACCTCACATGAAGGCACCGCGTGGCAGTGTTGGTGCCTTTGTGAATCTAGCAACAGGGTTTATGGTGTAGGAGATTCAATGATCGGAAAGGCCAGCATCTAAGTGCTCACATTGATGGACAAAATATGACCAAACCATCCCAAAATCGGCAAGCGAAGGACCTTGGGGATGATCAGGGGAGAATGCCCCCCCCGGATGGGTCCTTGTTTTCCGCTCAACCAAGGAATCGGGGAGAACATGTGACTAGGCGACCGCACCGACCAGAGCTTTGTCCAACCCTCACATGGGGTTTGCCAAGGTTTCGGTCGGATTTCCGGTTTCACACGATCCCTGCTAGACCAATTTGTCTTGTGGCTGTGTGTGCCAAACAAGACCAGACAAGATAACTTATAAACAATATGTCCATATACACATAAATACATATAATATAAACAAGTAACATTAATTAACATCACTCCAGCCTGATCCAGGGTACTCATGATTTTTCTCCGAAACGGTCCGCAAAATGTCCGAAGAACCCCTTCGTCAGTCGAGAGGGTCAGGGTGACCGGTCTCTCCAAACAGATTGGCGGCAAGTGGTGCTCCTGGGGATCTCCTGGGGTGTCCTGTCATGTGTTTTTGGTAGGTTTTGAAAGGCCGGTCTCTGCCCTGGCCGGACCCTCTAACAGGTGCAAAGACGACCTGTACGCAAGCTGGCGAACACGAGCCGTTCCCGGGTTCCGCCAGGGCGGCGTCACCGATCACCCTCCCAGATCCAGACCGCTCAGACGAGGTGGCCATGTTTAGCCCCGTTTTGGATCCCAACAGCGTCCAGTACGTGCACCACATGATCCTCTATGCCTGCGATGTGCCTTGGCGAGCGGCGAGCCGTGCGCATATATTTGACCATGCATGGTTTAATATACACCAGGTACACTCTGACGAACACATCACATGGAAGTGGAAAACCGCCTGTTTGTAGAGGATAGTTGTCTTCCAGGGCCCCATTTTCCACTTCCATGTGATGTGTTCGATGGCATGGGTACCTTGGGTTGAAGGGTTTGTGAGGTCGAATGTCCCAAGATCAGTAGTTTCATCACGAGGGGTGTATGAATGTCATTCAATGGAAAAGGGTTTGTGGTCGACGGAGGTTTTGTCATTCATTTCAACTTGTAAAGTCAATATATAGTAACGATGGAGCCTTCCAACACCTGGGGCAAGTCCCATCAAGTGACTTCATACATCTCAAGTGACTTGGTCCGCAAGGCGTCCAGTGCGGTATCTCTCAACAATGCATATGGCCATGGCTGTTGGTGTCCAAAATGCAAGCCAAAAAGGGTGTCGAGAAACCCGAACACATCCCTTTGCCTTTTCTTCTTTTAAATGACCTTTTGGTGTCCTGGTTTCAGGTTACCTAAGGCCTGCAAATAGGTCATTTAGGGGTTCCGGTCACTTTGAAGAAGCTGGTCGATTAATTTTCCCTTGACAACAGTTGAACTAGACACCGCTCGACTTCTTCGAATTTACAGGGATCAACAGACTAGGGTCAAGCCCTTTGCATCCAAGAACTGGCCGAAAACGAAATGTGAAGAGGCCGGGGCCTACACATGCTCTGAAGGCACAAAGCCTCTGAACCAAAACCTCCAGTTGTGCCCCCCTTGGTTCTTTTGACGGCACAGAGGGTCCCATGACACCCCACCGCGGGTCAGTGCTTAGTTTTAAGCAGTTGTTTGTGGAGTGTGCTTTCCTCTCGGTTCCAATCCCAAAAGTATGGGAAAGGCATTTGGACCTATCATGTTCGTCTTCAGTCTTACTGCAATCCTTTTCACGGCCCCCTCAAACAAATTCAACATTGGAAACACTATTCTCAACTTCCAGGCCTCTAGGCAATTTACTTTTTTATTGGCCTTCCCTTTTGTGTGAAGGATTGTTTCCATCAATCGTGTTGGGTATCTTGGGAAAAATCATGAAAGACCAATGTTCAATAAGAGATCTTGATGTTCCTGGGCCAAGCAGCCCAATCATTGATTTGATTGGTTCGTTGCTTGGGAGGTTCCACTCATCGAAAGACAAGCCTTTTGTCTCGACGTTGATGCATGAGATTTGTCCATATAGAGTCCGGGCGTTTGCGGTAGGTGCGTTTGTGTGTGAAACCCTGTTATATCATTATTATAATTGTTTAAAGCAATGGTTGGAGACACCTGTACGGCCTCTCCACCAACGAAGTTGGCAATACATAGTGAGGATATCAGTTCTGGACACAGATTGTGACTTGATGTAAACCATATATTGTTTCTGACCCTCTCGTCTTTCTGTTTGCGCACGCTTGGCATGTCCTCTAATGCAGCAACATAAAGGTCCCATGCAGAACTGATGAACACCGAAACGTGTTTTTGCAAGTACTAAAAAAAACACACAAACAAACATAATGTGTGTGTTCCTCTGCTATTCATGTCATTTATTTTTGTTCCACCTAGAAGTCTAGCTCTTCCTGGGAAAAGGCGCACCTCTTCCTGTGTTCGGCAGTTGCATGTTGACTCGGATGTTCAAATCCCTACTTGGCATCCAAGTCGGGCACCCTATACAACTGTTGGTCTCTGATGGTCTGTGATATCAGTTGAGTGCTTGTGTTTGCATCCTTTTGTTTGCGTTTTCAGAGTGGCAATTAGAGCATCAAGTGGAGTAGCAATCCATTCCCAAATGGGTGTCGTTGAGACCCAGACCTTCCTACCCAAGAAATGGATAACTTGCCCACCATTTGTGATGGATTGGTTTCCCTACTCACAAAACCAACAAGCACCGGAGTGCAAGGAAGGAGACCTTGCACAGCTATCTTCCATTTTTTTCTCACACACAAGAGGCCCAGGCCGGAGTTGTGCTATTGATCACACCTGGTTGCCGCATGCGCTCCAGAATCCTATAAGGAGGCACCTAGGGTGCATATAGCCATGCATTGCTTGAATCAGATCGTAGAACAGGTGAACCTCTATTTTCCAAGTAAACGGTTCCCAGCTCATCCGCCTTGTGTGGTCAAATCGCTCCAGGATGGCGTTTTTCAGCATTTGCAGGCCTGATCAGCCAGTGGTGGGAGTCTCTGGAGTTCCTCTTCGGGGTAGAACGACCCAAAAGAGACATCCTATTACACCCTGAGAGTCTAGTTTACAACAGCTTTCTGCTTGGTGAAGTGGTTCTTCCTGCTTGGTGTTTGTCGTTCCAAGCCGCCTCAGTCTTTGCCAACTTGCCAATGAAGGCCTCCATTTGAATGAGCGGTTCTGACAAATTGCCATGCATCACAATGCCATCTTCATCCGTCTTCTATAGAGCTTCGCACATTGGCGATGCAACAAGAGTTAAGCAGTGATTGCTTTTGTTGTTGGTGGGTGTCTTGCAAAACCGTGTCGTAAAAACTATATACTTGGTATTTGATCTTCCTCGCGGATACGATCCTGTATCAAGGAAACAAATGTTGTTGTTGCTGCTGCTGCGGCTGCCAGGCTTTTCGCCATCATAGCACATGTGTTTAGTCCATGTTTGTGTCATTTTTAGATACCAAAAAGCCGTATCAATGTTTTGTTGGCCTGTGTTCAATCATCTGAACAACAAACACCGTACATGCCCATGGCCCCATGTGAACCTCGGCAAGCCAAACACCTATACTTTTCCAAAACTGATGCCCCCAAAAAACAGAATGAATTGGTTGACTGCAGCTGTGATTCTTACATACCCAGAGATTTACATACTCGACCGGTACTGGACCCCCAGGACGGACTGCGCCTTCGAATGGACGGCTGTCCCTCACCGTGGATGGTGTGACTCACGTGGTTCCGGGCCGCTCTGGTCGGGCCGTTCGCCGTTGGAAGCCCATGGTGGGTGTCGTTGCGAATGGGCTGAAGCTCTCACTCGGTTTATTGATTGCCTTATAATAGAGATCTATGATCTATGTACACCCTCCAGTCGACCCTCCAGGATCGACTCCCAGGGTCGAAAGCCTTCAACTGCCGAAATCACCAGCTTCCCTCACCATGGGCAGTCAGTGAATCACCCGACCTTGCCCTTCGAAGATTGGCCCCTTTTCTTCCCAGGTCGGCCTGAGCTTCCCAGGTGGAAAAGAGGTGAAGGCTTCCATCGCCCAAGCCCGCCGGAGCCAAGCGATCTCCGCCAGGTGATCCCTGAGTGCGAGTCCATGCCTCCCGGATGCAACCAGATGAAGTGGCCCTGGGCCGTCGGCAGCGAACCCATCGTCTTCCCCGCGGAGGCGCCGAGGGAAGACGTCAGCGGCGGGGTCTTCAGACGTCCCGCGGTGCCACGCCTGGTCCGGTGCCGGAAACGCGCGGTGGGTGGCTTGCCGGGCCTTGCTCCTGGTGACCCAGGGTGGACAGCTGAAACTTGCTCCTGGTGACCTGTGGCCAGGAAGGAAAGACTCTTGGAGCTGGAACTTCTGGAACCCGTGGAGGTCCGGAAAGGGCGGTCTTGTTCAGACATCCCTTTCCGGACACTGCCGACTGGAATACAGGCCTGCATTGACTCCCCTGAAACTGCATTTACCAGGAGCAACCAAACCCTATAGAAAAAAATAACCCAGTAACAACATGTAACAACAAACTAAGATGTTCCTTTTTCTGAAAACCTGTGTGGTCTCGTCGGCCAGGTTTCTTTCAACCCTGCTTCCAGGTTCAATCGGTGAAACCTGTGTTTGGTTCCTGTTTCCAGACCCAGATGTCCGAAAACTTGGCCGTCTGGTGCCTCTACCGACGTCGTCCCGTTCCTACGGACGTCGGGCGGTCCGTCGACAGGCGGGGATGCCAATGGGTGAGGGGAAGAAGTGGTTTGCTTTGCAGCACCTGGACGGCAGCGGGAGAAGAGTTTCTGGTGCGGGAAAAGTCAAGTCGACATGTGTTGGGGTGTTTTCGGAATTGACACGGTTGGACAGAAGAAATGAACATCCCTGATCAGTATATATTAATGGATTCTGCCGTTCATGTTGGTGATTTGGAACTCAAAAGAGATCGCCATGATCATCAAATTCATAATATATGGACACCTCCGTTTCAAGGAGCAGGCACGCACTTGATCGCACGCACGCCAAGCGTGGCCAGAATCTTGAGGCGTGTTCAATGATGGTGAGTGATCTCCCGTCGCGATCTTTGGAGATAAAAGTAGGCAAAACTGCAGAGGTTTCAGAGTAGATGGCACTGGCACAGATGTCCTTTCGATGGGGGTGCTGAATCATGCTACATCGAAAGACATCAGAACACGACGTAAGTGCTACACCATGCTACACCTGGCACAGATCACATCGTTTATCACATTTGCCCTCGCTGCAACCATCATGCAAGTGGAACAATGGCCGCCCTTGGAAAGACGATGAAATCCTCTACAAAACATGGAATCCTCTACAAACAGGGGGTTGTCCACTTCCATGTTTCTTGCAGGGAAGGTTATAGTAATCCCCGTACACGAACTAGTAATGCACCTCACCATGCACCAACACCGGGTGTGTCCCAGTCAATCAGTGAGTCGATGCTCACAAAAGAAAGGGTTTGCAAGCTTTTTTACCATCATGCACTGGGCCTGGTGAAGATACCCAGCCAATACTTAAGCACCAAAGCCGCATGAAACAAGATGACCGACTCGACCGACCCATCCTGACAAGAAAACGCACCCCCTGCCGAGGTGAACATCACAGAAAAGCCCTGAACTCGAAGGATTTTGAAATGACCAATGAAACGATCCGCCAGGTGGCTGGACTTGATGTTCTATAGGGATCCACTGCCAAACCTCAGGTTTGGTACAACTGGACCCTCCAAACCATTCCTGGCACCTATATAAAAGTGTCTCCAAGCACCTTCTCAGAGGGTACGCGGATCCATCCGGGTCGTTCCCTCTTGGCACACCTTCATCTCGGGTGTCCTGGTGGGAGTGGTAGTGGAGCGGCTGCATCATGTGGCTCTAGGGTCACGAAGGGTCACTCACTTCCCAAATGTAAAATCCGTTTGGGGGACTTGTTATGACTTGTTATCCTGTATTATCAGCATGATGTTGTTGCATCTACTTGGTGCTCACCTTTGGGCCTCCGCCCCTGGCCCTTTTCCTTCGAGGATGCACTACTACAACCCCTCCCTTGACACTGGCGTCATGGACAGCAGCGGCGTCCGGGTGACCTTTGCCAATACTTTGCGTACCCACGACGCGGCGGCCCGACCTTCAATCGACTGGACTTGTTGGATGGACCCACTGTCGACGGGTTGGGGGCTGACGGAGTGATCGAAGGGAATTCCACGGGGCAGCAGGAGCTCGTTCGGAATGCAGGTGGAGTCCAACAGGAATACAATGAACGCAATGACCAACCGGGATTGGGATGAATTCGGTCGGAGTGGTTGAATTGGGTCGGATTCATCCGTAACAGGTTCTTCAGCACGAGAAAAGGCACCTGATCCGGCCCGATCCACCTGTTGGGTGGGAAATATAGCGCTGAGATGCCCTTTCTGGCGAAAACGAACATGGGACCCTGAAAACCACTGGTGTGTAAAGGAAAACCCCTTTTCCGGTGAGTTTTCGGGAGTGTAATGCGTTTTGTCAAGCTGGGCACAGTCGACTTTATACTTGTATTTTTAATTTCTGACAACCATTTGGGCGAGAAGAGGCTCTTTGAGTCCCCTGGATTTGCAGCAAACCCGTTCCACATCGCAGTGATGTTCGATCGAAACAACTGCATCCAGTTCTGCATCCACTTGGAACACTTGAAGTCACCTGTCTTTTTCGTGGCCGACTGCATCCAGCCCCGCATCGCTTGAAGCGCGACACCAGACCGGAACAAGAACGGCCCAGTAAAACCGGGTCCTTTGCCTCATCAGATCTCATTGGGTAGTGTTTGTGACACTGACATACCCCCCTCGGGATCCGGACCTTCTCAGGTGTTCGACTCGACACTGTTCTGTAGCTTTGGATGGTCCAGTCGTACCTGATTTTGAGAAGGCGACCGACTGGAAACCCCTCTGGGGCTCCAGGGCAGGTCAAGATGGCCAACGACACGCTCAGATGGGCACCTTCGTCCTTTTTGCTGCGTCCAAGGCAACGTTCCGGTTCAACGGTGGCACCGGCGACAACCAGCGCGACCCCATTCCTGCCGGGCAGTCGGAGTACACGCTTTCGCCCAAGGCTGGGGCTCTTCGGCCGTCCTTTTCGTAGCGACGGGTCCAATGCTCTTCACAGCCGTGTTACATATGAAGTAGTAATAAGTAGCATAGATGCATATAGCCTAGATATACTAATTTGCTTACTATATGTATATTGGTATGAACCACGTCGTCATATGCGCATTCCACCTCGACTCCACTTCTGGGCTAGTAATTCTCTTTACGCCAAAGAGCAGCTGCCACTTCCGGTAGGAAGTATATACTCCAGAGGTTCCCGACCCGAAGCTTCAACAGCCAGATCCTTTGGCTTGGGAAGACCATGGTTTTGCTATGTTTCGCTGAGGGTGAGGTTCTTACCCCCTCATAGGAGGTTTGTACCTCATGTAAATCCCCTTTTGTCCGTTTTCCTGAACAGCACATCCACCAGAATCAGGTGCAGCTCTGCTGAACCAACCCCCGTCTACGTCTCCTCCTCTGCGATGGGAGAAGAGAGAAACGACACCGGAACCACACCCAGACACAACCTGGCAAATGGGACACAACCTGTCCAGTGTGTAGCGACCTCGACACGGGGTCTCTCGACCGACTCTTTGCCAGACACGGATCCACCGGACTGAGACTCTGGGTACGACTGGAACCCGAAGACTTCGCCGATTTGGTGTAAATCAGGTGTCGAACACGTCACTGTATCTCGGATCTCAGAGGGTATGTGCATGCTAAGTGCATCCGTAAAATTCTAAAACACTTAAGAACCAGAAACTATATATGGATCGTTTATGTTGTTTTTTCTCCAAGACTATATTTTGGTCATTTCATTTGGGACATGATACCATTGGAAATCCAAAGAAACCAACAACATCTCCAGTCTGGACAGCACTTCTGATGTAAAGGATCTCAAGCTGGCATCAGATTGGATTTAAACACAAAAACTTTTGTTGCTTGTTTGGACGGGGTTTTCTCACGTGACAGAACATCACCGACTGATCGATCGACCGGGCCCACGGATCCTGGTGCTGTGCAGATCGAGCCCACGGATGGTTTGGCTCCCGACACCAGGATTGGGGGTCCAGGGGCCAGGCTGTCCCAGGGGATGGACTGGACTTCCTCGCCTCTCAGGCCACGGTGCCTGCATCCTGCACCAATACCTGGCGTCTCGTTCCTGCGACCGATCCGACGGAAGTGGGGACCGTACGGTCGCATCGGACAGCGAGAAATCGCTGAAGCGAACGTATAGGACGGTGTCATCAAGAGAGGACTTATCAGAACACAGCTGGTATGTCTTGCAAAGCGGCTTGAGGTTTTTGTCTGTGAGCCTTGGAAGTAAGAGCTATACTAACGCGAAGTTACAAGCACTTTTGTTTTTTTGATTGGAGAGCATTGGGCTGCACGGGGTACTCATGACACGAGATGATTCACGAGATGAGGAAACAAACACGTGGGAACCAAATACATTCCTACCAACTACATGGTCCGGCGTGTGTAGATGGCCGTGGTGTTTTGTGGCCATTTGCATGAGTTGCAGAACGTATTTTTTATTGAAATTCCATTGGGGGTAGGGTTTGTGGATATATCGCAAGTATGAAGTCCAGTTATTTTTGGTTCGGAAAAACTACTTTGCGCCCGTTTGTCCGCGCACCGTGCGTCAGAACAAGGCACTAATCGAACCAAAACTGCAACGTACATATGCGTGCCACATACACACAAACTGTCACCCCATGCACACATGACAGCATGTGAAAGCATGTGAACGCATGTGAAGGTAAAAAAAAGTAACAGCGCCACGCCAACATGCCTGTCACATACACATACGCCATTACCGCCCCACCCCACCCCCTCCCCCACCCCCCCCATGAACGCATGTGAAAGCATGCATGTGAACGCATGTAAAGTAAAAAAACGCCTGAAACGCACGGCCCCTTACAGGCGCCGATACCAAAAACATGCACAATACCACAGAAAAACGCTCCTTGCCAATTCAACGCTCTCCCCAGTGGCCCCGCGGACACACAAAAAGTGCTGTAAATACCACACGGATTTCGCAAAAAAGTGCTCAAAATGCCCCGGCCGTCTACGCCAGCCCAGCCAACTACATTCCTACTGTTTTTCAGAGGTGCTGCTTTCTTTCACAGCAACATATTATTAAAAAACACTTGTTTTGTAGACTTGCATGATTTGCATGACGTACAACAAACGCAGTTGCAGTCTCAAGCATAGTAAATCAGAAGGTTTCGGAAGGTGGATTTAGGAATAAGCCCGGGATTAACTCGGTTGGTGCAGGTTTTTGGAACCAGTTTTTGTGACAACCTGATGTACTTTGTCAAATACGGCACAGATTTGTGTGGGTTAAACATACGAATTTGTTACGGGCCGCAGAAGCTCAGAAGCACCCAAGCGTGTTAATCCACAACATGTCCGCCAGTTACTCTTTCGCGCATGCAAGAATCCAAACACAAGACCAAAAAATGACTCGTCATGTGTGTACTGTTGTTTAGCCACTTAGCCCGTACCAGACCTGAGTGGAGGGATCAATCATCAATGAGGCCCCATTCATCCTGAAAGACATATTTATATTTCAGTTGTTTCATGAACAAGACTCTTCTACAATACACAAACATCACAAACAAGTACGCTTTTCGGAGAAGAGTACGTCGTCGTCCGTCTCATACATGGATGCCTTGGTGATGGGTCGTAGGAGCGGCGCTGAACGCGCGCCCGGGGAGGCTTGTAGTCACCTCTGACGAGGGGAGGTCCACAGGTCGGGCCACGTGGTCGGACACGGTCTCAACGCGGATCCGATGTTTGCTCCCGAGGAACGTGGAGGAAATCAATGTTCTGGGAGTGGCCTTCTGGCCCAAAATCTGGGGCCGTCCGTTACGCGCAAACGATGGACACAATGTCTGGAGTCCAGCCAAGGGTGTTATTGATGGCACAAGGCTTCATGATTTGGGGGCTTGGGTTTTTGGCCGTGTCCCAGCAGGGAAACCCCTTGAAGACCCTATTCATCCAAATTCGGGCCAAAGTTTGTGTTGGTATGACCAACCCTCAACAACAGATCATGGCATTGGGCATTGGTCACGGATACATGGCATTGGCAATGATTAATGTTTGATGTCGACGTATTTTTACCTCTTTGACCTTGCAGTTTTCTCCAGAAACACCATGGAAGACAGAAGAACGAACACTGCAAGCTCTTCCGGAGCACTGCAAGCACAGCAAACCATCCAAACCCAGCGACTCGACGGGTGTTGGCGAGCGACCTGCAAACGACCAGAGGACGGCCCAGAGCGTGGCCCAGGCTTTGAATCTGAAGGATGGACCCTTTTTGGGGTTCCAACTGTACCTGGCCTCCCTCTTGAAGGTGGTTGGGGTGGATTCCAGAGGTTGGCCTCCACCTGACTGAGAACATGGGCCGGGAGCCCTTTTTTATACCCTATGGATCCACTGCCGCCCATTTTTTGTTGATATGTTCGACACTTTGATGTAGGTGTGAGGGTGCAGTCGTACCAAACCTGAGAAGGTGGCAGTGGATTTCCAACATACATGGATGGGCCATAAATGGGATAGATTTCTTGAACTCTTTCCATACATGGATGGTCTCAGTACTTCATGGGGCACAATACCCAAGACATCCATGGCCAGAAAGACGCCCATGCCCAGCGGTTTCTTGGAAGACCTACCTCAATCCTCCGGCTGTGCCCTATTTCAGCCTCTGGCAGAAACATCAAAAATTTCTGCCTCTCACCTTGGTTTCAGCCTCTTAAACCAAAAACTGCCTCTAGCAATTTTGGCTCTTTCCATGTTTAGGCCACATGTATGAGGGACTGCATATGCAACCAAATCTTCTTCAATGCATGGTTTGCGTGCTGTTTCCCAAGATTGAACGTAAGGAAAGCAAAACCCCAACCATCCGGAGGTCCAGCAATGCCAAACCAAACAAGAAGAAATCAACATATTAATCCATGGAATCCATTGACCAGTTCTTCCTCGATCGATGCCCCCATGCCCTCATGCCCGACGCAAGCCAGTTGACCGCGCCTCGGATGCAACCGGACGAAGAGTGAGAGAGGAGACGGAAACAAGAATGGAGAGGGATGACAAAGATAGGAGATAAACAATTAAGAGATGGAACAAATATACGAGTGACACGCACGCACACCCACACACACACACAAATGCTGACTTTTCTCCAAGACAGCTGCAACAGTCACAGATTTCGAGCCCTTTTATGGCGCAAGATCTGCATGCGTGCCTTCACCTTGTATGCCAACAGGGTGTTGGACACACAATTCTTGGCGCTGACCCTGCGCGATTGACGCGCCAGGCGTCCAATGTAATCTTCTGCCATGGAACAATCGAAAGTGCATGGGTTCAACACATACTCATTCCCATTTGACCTTTGTATGAAATCAGCAATGTGATCCAGAGCATGCGCTTTTGGCACCATGCTGTACAATGTGTAGCGCTTGTTTTGAGCAATCCGTGCAAGGTGACCATATGCGGAGAGAAAGGTTTTGATGCTTCGGTGAATGTTGAAGCGACACTGCCTCCTGAGCCACAGGCCATGGTTGTGTATCTTTTGAAAGCTGAGGCCCCCTTGACACCCACGCAGCATCAGAGTCAGAGTGTTGTCTGCCGGATGGCTGATCAGGGCCAGCCCTGTAAACCATTGCAGCCATCGAAGTAGCAAGATCGTGTCACTCCCCTTGCAGCCAATGTACGGAAAAGATCCCTGAGTAGGCATGTGAAGCTTTTGGATGGAGAAAGACCTGAGGCCAGCTGGTGTCTCCCGGTGGGTGTGGCACCAAAGGGCAAAGCTTGCCCATCCTCTCTCCAATCGCGCCTTCAATGCCCGACTCTCGCTTGCGTCAGTTGTATCGTCGAAGTGTCCTTCATGGGCAAGCATGACAATCGTTGATCCGATGAAATTCCTCGCAATGCCCAACCTGAAGATATGAAATGGGTCCCCCCGGAACCACATGCTCGCTTTGCCAGAATTCCAGGGCTCGAAAGCTATTGGTGCAAATGGAGGTATTGCTGTCCATGGTACCTCGATGTGCACTGTTCTTTTCCATTGTGCCCTTGCTGTGAAGTCTTCAAACGGGTACTGGGGCAGCCCTGCCTTGCAATCTGAACAGCAAGCTATCTGATTCACGTGGCCAACATTCTGATAGCTTCTGCTCAACATGCCACACTTGGCAACGTACTCCAAATCGCCTTTGAACCCGAGCAATGCAAATTTGTATGTGCCTTCAGGTCGTTTCACACCATCGGTGCACAACTGTCTCAGGTCTTCCGAAATACAATGCAAAATCGACAGAAGCAAACCTGGAGTGCTTTGGTACTTTTTGCTTGGAAAGGCAGCTGCACAGAAGTGTGTTAGGTAGGAATGGTTCTTGGAATTCAGCCTTTGTGCCATTGGATCATTGCAATCCCTTGCGGAATGTTTCTCTTGAGCACAGCACGTACAAACAAATGGGTCCATAGCAGTGTCAAGACCCAAGACTGGCTGCACGCTGATGCACTCAATTGGTTGGTTCTTCAATGAGCGCCCCGCATCCCCATGTATGATGAGAGGTATCACATACCTATAGTCAACATCAGCGTCCTGAAACAGCAGATGCGATGGGTGTTCCACTCTGTAGGTCCTCCAAAAGCTGTGCAGCAACTGCTGCGCTTTAGGGCCAGGATTCAAACCACCAAGGCAAATCCAAGGATAATGTTCCAGCAAGTGTGCAAACATGTGGGTGGGCTTCAAATACGGAAGAAGGGCAACAGTTCCGTCTTCTTGAAACTGATGGTATGAAATCGGAACTTTCCTCAAACTGCACAGGACAAACAACTGCAGAATAGATTATTATTTACAGCACCCTGGAAAGAGCTAGAAACAAATAAAAATGCCAAAGCACCGCCGTGACTCAGCGCAAAGCCAAAGCGCTTTACGGTTCGCTTGTACTGTCTAGATGCATTCTTCGCAGACCGTCCCAGCATCGATATTGTAGAGGGATGCAGTGCCTCGTGTGGGTCGCATTGCAGCTCAGCCTGCAAAGCCTCCCCGTGCTTCTGAAGTGTTTGGGCAGGAGCCTGAGGCACAACATGGACAACGTCTAAAAGAAGGAGGCAGAGTCTTAAGATGAGGGCATCCCACCTTTAAACAAATTGGGAACTCACTCTGAAAACATTTGCGCAAATTCATGTGAGCAGCTCCATTTGCTATAGTTTCCACCGCATGATGGAGAAGAGGTCCAGGTGTAAGTGAGGAACTCGATGCACCTGGCTCATGCCGACGCAGCGATACTATAGTCAGTTTGAGGTGCCTTGCGCCCAGTCTCTATCGATCCCAATTCTGATCTAAACAATGGACATTGACGCGTTCAACGGGACCCTGGCTTTTGGCATACACATGCAATGCACAAAGTAGCGCTCACCAGAACTCACCGCTCCCTTTTGCCACCCTGTGATTTGCAATATAGTCTTGATGAAAGATCGGATTGAGTGGATGTTATCACCCACCCCGCAAGGCTTTTCAAGCATTGCTCAATGCCCCAAGCAGAAATATGATTAATGCAGTTGCTTTGGATGCTTGCCCCCACACGACTATGGTCTTGGGTTTGAACCTCTCAACATCAATCCCAATTATTGCAAACACACGGGTCCGTGTGGGAAGAGCTTCACCCGCAACGCCCGAAAAACAAGTCACAAACAGTTCATTTCCCACCCCTAGATTTTTTGGGCTCCTGCTTAACGACCTGCCTTTTGGCAGTCCTAGCAGGGGGGCATTCACCTTCCTCACGCTCACGCTTTTCTTTCTTTTGCTTCGACTTGATTTGAGAGATAAACGGCCTCACCAACTAATAAATATGATCGTTTTGAAACACATGCACAAACACATGCATACACAAAACGGAAACAAATCGGCGCAGACGTTGGGCGCCCTGCTGTGAGCGAGTGGTAAGGTTGAGGGCCTCCGCGCACCTCAGAGAAATCGTTGACAGAACCATGGCGGAAGCAGAAGCTGGGAAGGAAGTGGATGCAGGATCATATCATGATTGACCCCCCAAAAAGGCAGCTATCAAACTCTTGGCCCCTATACCAACCAAACACGGATTACCAACATAACGGAGGACACACAAGGAAGAATGTCATGAAAGTGGGTCGGGCATAGCCTGGTTCTTTTTGGATGTAGAATAATGTAGCCAACACAGCGGCATCCAACATAGGGAATCCGTTATCACCGATGGACCGATGTCTTTTCTTCTCTTGGTACTTCTGGTGGGATCTGGTGGGTGCCTTCCTGCTGTTGGTGAGTGGACACATGAAAAGCAAACATAAGCTAGAACCTCTATTGCACTCAACCCTCATCACTACCAATGGCTTTGGAGGTACTCATTGCGGGGCTGGGCCGGAGCAAACGCAATAGGTGTTTGGGGTTGGAACGACTGCAAACTGGAGTGTCTGAAATTGACTGAAACCCTCCTCACCATCTTCCGCTCAACATTTTTCCTGTTTGGTGCGCTTATTAAATTGGACTTTCACACCTGGAATGAGGCCAAAGCTTGGGGAGAAGGCTTGAAGGGGATTTGAAATCATGCAGTCCAAACCAGCCAAGCGTTGCATAGCTACCTCAAAAGGTTGGAGACACCAAAGGAATCACACCAGTTTGTGGTCTGACAAAACGATGCAAAACCAAGCGACCCGTAAGACTCCTTAAGGGTCCCTTCGTTTCAGAAGCGTCCCTCAGGATGGCCGAATCACCTTGCTGGAGATCCAGCGTGGCTTCAACGACGCTTGTTTGGGTCATGCCAGCCATTGCTTGTTTTATACAATGGCTTTGCAACAAAATGGGCATCAAAAGGAAGCGCATTGAAGCCAAACAAAGCAAATCAGAAAACATGTTTATGGGTTTCTTCTGTGTAGTCCAGCTTGGGCATATCTTAGGGAAGGGATAGGTGATGGGTGAGGAAACTGATTCTATTGCAGGGGAGCCCGCAACTAGCTGGCCTGAAAAAGAACCTTTCCATGTAGAGCACCGTGTAGTGCAGAAAGCATTGTCCTGCATACAAACGACCCAGTCGTTTCCTTCCGGAAAGAAGGTAATATTGTAAACTGAGGCACTGTTTTCGAGCTTCTTTGAAGTCAGCCTCGAGCTTGTCCTGATGCCTCAATTCAACATATACTTTCTGAGGGTACAACAGTTTGACAGTTTGGCAGAACAAACATGTGTCTAACGTTTGGTTGAGGCACTCTTTCTTGTAGCCCGCCAAAATACCCTCGGTGCTGGTAGTAGTGACCCTTTCCGTCACTGCCTGCAAGTTCTTCTCAATCTCCCGGGCCCGATCAAGCAACCTGAGCAGGAGGCATGAGGTTCTTGCTATGGCTCTTTGTATTCAGTGCAGAAAGCTGAACACATCCATCGGTTTGGTTATGTTGTCACTAAGTTACTGCCTCAGGTTATCAGATAGATCCTCAACGGACTCCAACACCTCCATCATGGATTGGATCTTGACGCCCCACTTGGAAAGACACGTCAACACGCGGGGGATGTAAGAGCTTGCCAAAGCATCAGCGTCGTCCATGACCGGAAAGTTCAAGAGCTTCAAGGTCTTGTGCTGGTTGTCAGTTCCATCAGCTTCAATTAGAATCGTAGGGTCTGACAGGAGCCACCCCGCACGCTGACTATGTAAAAAACAAACAAGGGAGCCCTGCCTGTTGTGTCTTCAGGAAGATCCATGTTTGAAGGCATGGTGTCATGGCCTTCAGCCTCTTTCCTGAAGTCCTCTTCGCCCATGGACTCATCCTCTTCTAGGATTTGCCGTTTCTTTTTCCTTAATTCATTGTCACACACCCCAGTGCAAATCGCTTGGAAATATGAAAGTTGTTTGGGATATGCTGTTGGTTGTTCTTTCAAGATCTTTCAGGTATAATATATAACCCAATCACAGCTTGGGGTCAAAGTCTTGCCATGCAAAGAACTCTCAACCCAGTAGAGCTTGATGTGCTTCTCGTATTTGTCTCTCCTAAGGATCAAGGCGAGATTGGCCATGATCATTGGTGACAAGCAGGAAAGCAGAATGGCTGCAGACCAGGAACCGAATCAACTTCTTGGGATCTCGGGCGCATTCTTGTTTGACCCCTGCAATCCGTGGCCTTGTGCGCAACATGTGCAATAAACAACTGAAAAACATCTAGCGCATCAGCTTTGTTAAGTGTGGTTTGGTAGGATGACAAAAGTTCTTGCTTAGTCACTCCGAAAACTTATCGAGTCTCATGTCTTCTTCCGACATGAAGCAACCATTCACCCATAGATCTTGCTCCTCAATGAATTGCACCTTCTTCTTGCACTTCTTCATGAACGTGTCCTGCACCGATCTATCATTCTCATGTCCAAACACAATTGCCATGCCAAGGAAAAGGATCAGTGGGTTAAGAGTCCTTGTCCCCATTACTTTTTTTCCAAAGCTTCAGAATGGAATCGCGACCCCCATCAGCTAGATCATTCCATTGCTCAAGAATCTCTTTGGGGACTAGAAGGCTACCATCAGCACGCGGTGTCATCATACGCCGCAACTTCTTCATCTCGTTTGGAGTGACCGGAGCTTCCCCACTTGCAGCCTCGGAGTACTGACTTAACGGGTGCAATACAGCTCACGAGAACTGCAATCAAACGCAAAGCTGAGGATTCATATGGTGGCCAAGAGGCTGTGCAAGCTTTGGGGTCTGCTGCATCCACTGGTTTGGGCGCTTCTCCACCAACAGGCTCCTCGCCGCAATGGGGTCGATGTATTTTACATGTGATTCATGCAGCGTGGTAACACAACATTTCTTTAGTAAAAGCGCACTGGCTTGTTGAAACAATCGATGTGTTGGCACTTTGTCAAAGAACAAATTGAAAGAAGGAAGCAGATTCACACACTATATCATACCCTAGGCTCTCACAGGGTTGTCTCCATCCCAGCCCACCCAAGACCCTAGCCTGCTCCATGGCCTCAATGTCTTGGAAGGGGCTCGAGACCGAAGTGAGCTCCATTGCCTTGGAATAGGTGATGTTCTGCTCCAAAACATATATTGCAGAAACCTATGTCATTTGCAACACTTCCCTCAGTATTTGCAAGCTAAGCTGCCAAAGCAGCATAAGCAGGGTCACCGAGATGGGATATAAATTCAAGCATAGGATCAATAGAGTCCACAACCTGACATTCAGAATGCAAGAGGTATACGCACGTGCTACGTTGGAATTGGCAAAATATGGAATTGGAAACAAAAGGTTCAATGATAAGGGACCATATAGTCATCTTGAGTAAGTGCAGAAGGATCATCATGATAAGAATCCTCAACCTCTATTGGGTTTACCTCCTCACTGGCGGGTTCTGACCCGGCAGGTGGTTCAACAGGTTGGGCAAGCTCAATATCAGCAGGAACGGTTTCCTCTTCTGGTCCAGCATCACCTGAATTTACCAGTGCGCGGACTGGTGTAGGGATAGGTGCCACAGGCACAGCCATAGCTGCGTTGCGTGGCTTGTCCTGGACCACAATTGGCGGGGCAAGCTCACCCCAGGCAGGCACAAGTTCATGTCAAGGACTGATTTCTAAGCTCACAAAACACAACAAGCCTGCAACAATGTCTCCAACTCGGCCAGTTCCCTCTGCAAGTCTTCATCGCTCTTGTCGTTTAAGGTATCCATACCTGTTTCCTCATTGACCAAGTCAACTCCCGCCATCAAAGTCCCTGTTGAGAACACACGGGAGGGAAGATCCATGCGCTCTATGACACCGCCCACGGAAACAAAATAGCGTTTCCTGGCCGTTTGATCAAAAAGCAACAACCAGACCATTCATTCCAATTGGATATATGCACAAATTGCTAGAGTGGTGTTTCCCGTAGATTTCATATGAAAACCAAACACCTTCTCACCCATGTGTTTTTCATATGAAACCCCTTCCATGGTATGGTCCAAAGTGGCACCGGCCAAAACCGCCTCTAACCCGGGCAAAACCGCCGCTAACCCGGGCAAAACCGCCTCCCTACTTTTGTGTTTTCATATGCAAACTTGTTTGTTATATCTTTCATATGAAAACCGTTCATGCTTCACATATGGTTCACCAGCTCCTTTTTCATATGAAAACGGTTGTTTTCTTCACATATGCACTTTTCATATGAAACTCTACTTGTTACCCACACTAGGCCTATAGACAGAGAAGGCCTTCCATGACTATCTCATAGACTGATCATGTCTCGCTGAGAAATCATTTTCTTTGGTGGGCTGCATGAGTGATTTGCTCACATGAAGCCATGAAGCCTCAGCAATTGACGCATGCCCGAATTACTCAGAACACCTCCAGGTTCATGAATGCAGGTGGGACTCTGCACTCATATCCCAACTACTTCCAACTCATTAATGGATGCCCCACACCCACTCGGAAACACTGGAGGCTTTCGCCAGCGCCGGAGACTTTGAGAAAGTCTTCGAATTAAGGCAGGAAAAGCTTGGGAGCGCCTACCGTTCAAATCTTTGTGGGCAAGACATCCCGGAAGCCAGGTGGAATGACCAGGCGCTTGGAACCCCTGGCATATTTCACGACCTCTCGTAAATCGGCCTCTTCATCCCAGAGAGTTGATTCAGCGCACCATTCCATAGCACCAAAAAGGTCACAAATAGATCCCTGTGGCACCTGGGTTGTCGCTTTCACGTTGTTTGGAGCGTTTTCTGTTTTCAATGACAGACATGGCAAAGGCTACCCATTCCAAGACAGTAACACATGACATTCGAGTTCCCAAAAAAAGCGATGAGCACCTTGACAGGTAGTTTGCAGGGAGGAGCTGCACGGATCTTTGGCACCATTTTAACAAGTTTCGCGGCAAACTTGTACGTGTATTGCCTGGTTCTTGGCAGTGAGTCGTGTGTATGAGTCAACTAAAGCCCTTTGAGAACCACAAAAGCACAAAAGCTACAATATGGCGTCCGGTTTTGTATTGCTGGGAAAACATGTGAAAACAAACGGAGACGCAATGATTTCTGGAAAGGTGCTGGCTTTTCTTCAAGTTGGAATTACCTTTGAAGCGTTGTTTGCCTCTAGCATCTTTGTAGGTTGTCGTTGTTTTTTCCGAGGTCTCTTTCTCCTCTGCAGTCAAAGGCCCAAGGTCCAAAGCACCAATCAAACTTGAAATGCTCCAGATCCAGGTTCGTTTCCAGGACATCGATGAATATTTCCGCATCCAAAAGGCAGATTTAAATGTCTTAGCAGGGGATTGGGCAAGCTCATCTTAGGCTTGGTTTCAAAGACACCCACAGTAAATAGCTTGCAGCTAAGGGTCAGGGATACCAAGAGAAAGGAGTCGTTCAGCAAACCAAATGTATCGAGGGTGTAGGGCGACCAAACTATTCATGGGGTTCTCCATCATGAAGTTTCCACCAGCTATCACCACCAGCCACATAAGAAGGACTGTCCTGATTATGTCTGACGATTTTGCAGGGTAAGCTCTGAAATCTATATACACGCATCAGAACAAGTGACCCTAGCTTCAGAGGCAACAAAGGCCTAACCTTTGTTGGCAATGTGACCCAAGCATCCGGCTGGTGAGCTTATTAGAACGCCTCACCGCAGGAAAGTCCTCATTCCCCAGTGGTGTGAGAATGCTGCGGGATGTGCTGGCTCTGTTGACAGGCACCCAACTGCTGCAAACAATGGCAAAGAAAGCTACCAGGCCCTCAAACTCTCCAGAGAGTACCAAGTGAATGCACAGTCTTAGCCAGCAGAAATGTGATTTGTGTGGGTTCTTAGTTACTGCTATACACGTGTAGCCAAAAATCAAATCGTTTCAAACAAACAAGTTGTAGCCCAGTAGCATCAGGCCAGCATTACTATTCAAATCCATTGGTGGCCTGGATCCCCGTTCTTTCCCCAAAGACTTCCCATACTCAATGTCAATGGCCGCAGCTTTAAACCCAGCAAATTTGGCCATGGCAGCAACGCGGCCCACACCGGCAAAGTATTCCAACACTTGATACGGTGGACCATCTCTTCCGGGTAGATCTAGCCACCAAGTCAGGAGCACCAGTAGAACCACGACCTCGGGATTCAAGATCTGGTTTTCTTTTAAACTCGCACACCAAAAATAGGAGTAACGCATCGACCGAGTTAGTTACACCATGGCCACCATACATTTGACATCCACCCGCAGAAGCTCAGGATTCAACTACATTGCCTATACCGACATCAAGCTTCTCACTAGAATTCCTTCTCAGGCGCCTTCGGGGTCTTCAGCGCAATGAGCCGCTTGACAAAGATGTCGAACTGTGTTGGCGTCATAGCTCTTTGGTTCGTTGACAAAATTGTGGCTTAATGGAAGATATATGTCCTTCAGAGACTTCCACTGTTTTGTGTAAAACATGCTTGCATGCGTATGCGCAGCTTCCCATGATTTCGGGGCAAGCGGAAAGCCACTGACTGCTGCACAGCATTGCACAGCTCACGCACACATGCACTACAACCATGAAGGGCCTGCGCCCTTGTTTCTACAGTTGATGTCTCTAGTGACTAGTGACCTAAGGGCCTCAGGGTCTCCTCACAAGAACTCCCAAACCCTAACAGGCCAGCGCTACTTGCCAACTCTCTGTGCACACCAAACTTGGCCAGGTTGATGCAGCCCCTCCGCAAGCCATACAGCTTTGGCGCCATCGCCTGGCCCAGGCAATTGTCGGGGTGACTGGGAAGGATTGGGATGGTAGGGCCCTACGCTTGAGAAATGGGGAAACCGTTTAACAACGCTCCCAACTCGCAGCCGTGAATTGCAGTCCGGGTTGTTCTTTATGTTTCGTTTTTCTTCCTGTCAGTGCTGCCACTGTAGAACTTCATTGGGTGACCCTCAAAGAAGAATACAATTTGATTTGATGACTTCATGCTCCATCCGCCACCTCTTGATTTCCCCCCTCGGCCCTAGCCAAGCATATGCGTCAAAGTAACACACATGCATGCAGCTAAAATCAAATTGAATGATCACATGGATCCGCTGTCTTTCCAGCCCCTCCATGCCTCAATGATCGCACACTTCCAGTGAGACACTCATACCACCGGCACATACATCATATAGAGGGTATGTGAAAAGGTGGTCCCAGCCTAGCTTTTTTGAGACTACAGTGTTTGTTTAATGGTGCAAAAAAGATGGTAAGAATGCCACATGCTACAGCCGATCTGTACACCCAGAGATTCAGTTCAACATCTCTATCAAGCAAGCCTCTTCCAGGAAGGGTTTGAGCTCAGCGTTGGTAATGCCTTTGAATTTCTCCAACAGGGCATCCGAGTCTCCTGATGGGTCCTTGTTCTTTTGGTAGTTGGCCTTTTCAAAGGCAGCGGTGCACCACTCCCACCACTCAACCTTGCATGGTTTAGAATGGAACACCTCTACACCTTATAAGGATAACACTGGCTATGGTAACTGCTCACCTAGCAAAGCAAATTCGAAGACCACAAATTGTAATCACAACCCCTATCAAACAGCCACGCCGAAAGGAGAACACTAGTTTCAAAACCTTGCCTCTACAGGAGAAGTCTTGAAACCCACCTCCTCGAGAATTGGCTTGATAGCGCTCTCAAACACGTCCCGAACAGCAAGCCATCTCTCCTTTGGCGATGTTTTGGGGCACGGGCGGCGCGCAAAGCTCTTCAAGGCGTTCCGAGGCGCAGCATCAGCACCAGTTGGCTCTTGCTGTTGACATTGCTCCTCAATGCCACCACGCTTGTCCCTGTCCTCCGCGTCAACCGTGGACTGCTTCTTGATGTTCTGGTCCTGGGCCGTCCAATGTTTTTCAAAGTCTTCTATACCTTGTGTTGAAACAGGTCCCCAAACAACTTTGTCATCATCCATGTCCTCCTCTGCCACCGCTGGAAGCGCCTCCGCCTTTCGCTTCGCCTGACGCTTGGGCTTTGGGGCCTTGGGCTGTTCCTCCTGCTCCTCGGTCTCCTCGGCCTTGATCTCCAAATCCTCAGCATCAGAGCACAGGTTGACCATCTCAGCATCCGCCTTCTCACACGCATGCCCTCGACCTGGTCGACCACGACGCTTGGCACATGCCCTCTTGGCCTGAGCCTTGGCTTTGGACTTAGCCTTTGCCTTGGCTTTCGCCTTGGGTTTTACCTCCTTCTTCAACTCGAATTGGCTTTTCCTGCTCACTGGCTCGGGTTCTGGAAGGTCTTCACCATCTTCTGCTCCAAACTGACCACTCTCTTCAGCCTTTGAAGAGCTTGGAGCCTCAGACTCAGTGACAGCGGAAGGCGCACCAGCATGGCCAGAGCTGGCTTGCTTGGCACAAACTGAAGCTTCTTCCTGTTCTTCACACGGGTCAGGGACCTCAGCACAAGGCATTGCATCATCAGAGTCAGCAGCAATGGCTTCGAGTGGGGCACCGGAATGACGTTCTTCGCCCTCAGCAATGGCAGAAGGTGCCAATGGTTCATCATCCACAATGGCAGTAGAACCCGGCTGGGAATGGGCAAGTGGATCAAAGACTTCATTTCCAATCACAGGCTCTGCTGACATTGAAAGAACTTCAGCCTCGGCATTGCCCTGAACAGAAGCAGAGCTCTCCAAATCCTCACTACTAGCATGTCCGGAATCCTTGTTGAAGAAGTCATACGGATCCTCAAGGTCAGAGCCAGGCGCAGGCAAGCTCTCCGCAATGTCCATGGATGGCTTCTCATCAAGTTGCTCACATTCCACCGGCGGCTGGCCAGCAATGATCCGCCCTGCAACTGACATATGGCCACCTTGCAAAGGCTCAGCTTCGCCTAGGGCAGAGGTCTATTTGAACATCCATGAAACTGTGTGCACCCCTTTGGTTTTAAACACCCATGCGCTCGTGAGCCCCCCCACGCACAAACTTAAGACTATTTGAGCCAGCCAGCCTGCTGCATCAGCCCGCCCAAACTCTGTCTGCAAGGAGCGTTGCAGCACATGGTCGTCAGTCTCCTCAAAGCGCTTGACAGGTGGCAGTGCTGGTGGCTGGTATGACTCCGCCAAAGCTTTGAAAGACACTGCATCCAGCGGCTGTGTGTCGGCAGTATCGCCCACAGCTTTGGCAGCAGCCCTCTTGGCAAGAAGACACCTGCAGCTCAATACTTCCCCAGTGGCAATGCCACATGCGGCCCACTATTTTCTCTATGTTCTCAAAAGGCAAAATCTTGTAAGAGACCAAACAAGAAACCGTACTTTTTTCGCCCTCTCCATCATCTCAGCAACTGAGAGCCCAGAAGTCACAGGCGGTTGAGCCAGCCCTTCCTCTGCTTGTTTCTGAGGTGTTTCAAGAGAACTCACTGGCTCCATCATGACCAGTTGGCAGTCGCTATCATCATGGTTGAGCGAGGCATCTTCCACTTTCAGCTGGCTCTTCACCTGATGGGGGACTTCGCCTAGCCATTGTGAACCATACGCCCTGAAAACCCAACAGGTTTTGCACATAATTACTTTTGGGAGGTGCCATGTTGAAGGGGTCCCTTGTGAGGTGTCCATGAACACACAGCCAAACACATCATAAGGCCGCCCATCCCCTGCAAACGCTTCTTTGAAGCCAGCCCAAGAGAAAATTCAACATGTTAAGTTGATCGATGTTTGCTTGTTTGACACTCCCCACCTTTGAGTTTTTCCCAGGACTGGCCATGCCATAAGGATCCGACTTCACAGTCATGAAAGCACTGAAATCACTCTCCTCGTCACCGCTGTCCACAACGAAGATCTCAATGGCATGTTCTGGCTTCAACCTCACACTCCAAAAGGAATAGATCACTTCATAGAAGGGGTTCACGGCAGCATCCTGGGAGTGGGCACGCCAACTTCCAACCCGGACACCATTTTCAAAACTGAAAAGAATGTAAAAGACAAAAAAAACACAAAGACCACATACAAAGGAGCTAAGGCTCTCGTCGGATCGGGCTTGAGGAAGATTCTTTGTCTGCTCCAGATCTCCGAACCCCGTAGCTGAACAACTTCTTCAACCCCCAGGCATCTGCATGGAGAATTGCAGGGTCGTTTGGAAGCTGAAAGATTGCACGTAGAGCTGCGACCTGAACAGGGGCATGTTGCGCATGTTGGCCCCTAACCCTTAAACCTTCAACACATTTTTCACATTAATCAACATCAACCAGTGATAAAATATTATGGACCATGATGGACCCAAATCGGCTGATGTAATATGGTGACATGAATATACGAATAAGCGCAACCAATCCATGGAGCCACATGCACTCCCCACCTCCTTCCTCACTGCATGAACACTAGGACTCTTAGGCCCAGATTGCTTGGGGCACCAATCCTCTGCCAAAATACGAAGGGCGTGGATGTTCAAGGATATGGAAGCCATGGTCGGCTTTCCAACGAGCTCAGGTTTAGGCCACACAACGAGCATACCCTTGGATCGGATCCGGTTTCGGATATGGCGATTGGCCTCCCATTTCTCGGCTAGAGTCACGGGTCCTTCTTCAATGGTCTCCATCTCCAGCCGCAGGTCGCTCGCTGAGTGCTGATCGAGCTGCAATGGATGAAAAACGGCTTCGGCAATCAAAGCTGTTTGTCATCGGCATGCAGCTCACAGTCTTAGAAGGTGGTACATGCACCCACGTCTTCCAGTGGTATACTTATTTTGCCTTTAGGTTAGGAAACATGCCTACTGCAGGGCATAGTTTGCATTGGCACATGCTAACTTTGGCCAGGCTAGCCTGAATGACAAGAATGATCACGAATAGCACCCAGTGGAGACACCTGCCAAGCCGTTGAGTAGTAGCTTGCGAACTTGAGAATCTTGAGCGGAGCATATATCAAATAGTTTTAGAATTATTGTTTCAAAGAAGCGCTTGCAAAGATCTGCTCCACATGATTCTCTCAAAGACATTCCATGGTTTCAGCTTGAGGGAAGAAAAGCAGGCTTGCATCAGGTGAGAGCCCATGCCTCCCAACCTTCATGGAGTCGCTGCTTCACCACGCATGGCGGCCAATAGAGTTTTTGTTTTGTTCAAAAAGCTGGTCCTACAATATCCTATGAAGTGTTCGGTGCGTATTACCACAGTAGTAGTGGTTTGGTTGATGCATGGCTGCAAGCACCCTTTGAAACTTGGGAGTGAAGCAGCGATTGTTCAACCTGACATTAGCTCATGTGGGATTTGGGATCACGTCGAACCAGAGTGGCTGGATGCAGCCTGGCAGGCGGCGAAGAAGGGATGGGATCGGATCGGATCATTCTACCCAATAAAAGGGCCATCAGTGGTCACATTCCGGTTGAAATGTGCTTTTTGCAAATCTTGCCTCTAGGCAAAAATTCATC